CACGACCAACGTCATCTGCGTCGGTGATGGGATGGCCAACCATGTCGGAGCCTCCCATCCATCCTACCAACCTCCCCACCGAACACCCCCCACGTTGCCCCACCACGACCACCGTATGAGATCAATGCAGGGCCACCAACTGTTCGCCGATGGAAGAACCAGACCAGCCATTGATATCCTGTAAATGCATAGGGTGATGTAGCAATTTCATGATAAGTAAGGTTTGTCGATCCCACATGGAGTGAAAAGGTAGACACTACTATCCCCACATTTGTGTCGTCACTTACGCAACTATACTTACACCCAAGCAGGAGTTTGGAAATAGTTTACTAAAGTCGGTTGCTAGGGAAAATGTCAAAAGAGAGAATTAAACTAAGGTACCGAAACAAAGAAAAAAATAGATACTAAACTAAAATGAGAAAATAAACAATATAGAAATATGTGATGCTTTAGATGAGAACGCTAGCGTCTAGGTACATCCTCGTTCGGCTTTGGCATTGATTGTGGTTAAGCTTTTCGACCATCGGCACATAAGTCTATTCCTTGCATTATAGGATATGGCAATCAATCGATGGTGGGCGCTTGGGCGGTACCTCACATTACATTGTCTCTCAATCAGCGCCATGTTGAGACAACTCAATTGTCCTAATTCCCATCCCATACTAGTGGCTGATAATGGAAAGACACGACCACGAGGACCGGACCGAAGGCAATAAGTTTTATGGACAAGTGTGATCCCTAGAATATTTGTGTTCCCCTCAGGATATCAATGCTTGCCACACAGAGGTCTCTCAACGTTTTCAACTACACCAATGGATCAGACGTCCAATCACTAAGTTACCGCAAAGGTAAATAATCAACATGAAGAAGGCACACATAAATAGACGATGCATATCAAATAACCGCTTACTAGCTGACTGGCTCATAGGCAACAATTACTCAAATAACATCACATATAAAGGGGCTTCAAGAGTTGTTACAACCCTATCACAGAGACCGTGATGGGGGAAGGAGAAGGGGTTGGTGAAGGCGATGCAGTGGCGCACGGCCGCGCCCCACAACCGTGCTCCTCTGGCGGCGGCTCCCTTTCGGTCTTCCTCGAAGGTTGCAACGATGGACATGAAGGCTTGGCACAACCCCCTGATACGTCTCCAACGTATCTATATTTTTTGATTGTTCCATGGTATTATATTATCTGTTTTGGATGTTTTATATGCGTTAATATGCTATTTATATTATTTTTGGGAGTAACCTATTAACCTAGAGCCCAGTGCCAGTTTTTGTCTTTTTCCTTGTTTTTGAGTTTTACACAAAAGGAATATCAAACGGAGTCCAAACGGAATAAAACTTTCGCGATGATTTTTCTTGGACCAGAAAACACCTACGAGACTTGGAGATGAAGTCAGAAGACCCACGAGGCGACGACAAGCCGTAGGGGCGCGCCCTAGGGGGGCTCCCCCTGGGCTTGTGGCCCCCTCGGAGGTCTCCTAACCCTAATCTTTGGCCTATATATTCCCAAACCATTAGAGGCGTCCACGAAAATACTTTTCCATCGCCGCAAGTCTCTGTTCCTGTGAGATCCCATCTTGGGGCCTTTTCCGGCGATCCTCCGGAGGGGGATTCGATCACGGAGGGCATATAAATCAACCCTATTTCCCCTCCGATGATGCGTGAGTAATTTACCACAAACCTACGGGTCCATAGCTAGTAGCTAGATGGCTTGTTCTCTCTCTTTGATCTTCAATACAATGTTCTCCTCGATGTTCTTGGAGATCTATCCGATGTAATCTTCTTTTGGGGTGTGTTTGTCGAGATTCGATGAATTGTGGATTTATGGTTAGCTTATCTATGAATATTATTTGAATCTTCTCTGAATTCTTATATGCATGATTTGATATCTTTGTATTTCTTTTCGAATTATCGGTTTGCCCAACTAGATTTGTATTTCTTGCAATGGGAGAGGTGCTTAGTTTTGGGTTCAATCTTGCGGTGTCCTCACCGGTGACACAGTAGGGGTAGCGAGACACGTATTGTATTGTTGCCATCAAGGATAAAAAGATGGGGTTTTCATCACATTGCTTGAGTTTATCCCTCTACATCATGTCATCTTACTTAATGCGTTACTCTCTTCTCTTGAACTTAATACCGTAGATGCAGGCAGGAGTCGGTCGATGTGTGGAGTAATAGTAGTAGATGCAGGCAGGAGTCGGTCTACTTGACACAGACGTGATGCCTATATTCATAACCATTGCGTTGGATATCGTCATAACTTTGCGCTTTTCTATCAATTGCTCAACAGTAATTTGTTCACCCACCGTATGCTTTCTTTCAAGAGAGAAGCTCTCTAGTGAAACCTATGGCCCCCGGGTCTATTTTCCATCATATATTTCCAGATCTATAAACTAAAAAACCCAAACATACCTTGCTGCAATTTATTTTTTTTATTTTATTTTAAGTTTTAGTAATCTTTTATATCTATCTCTATCAGATCTCACCATTGCAATTGACTGTGAAGAGATTGACAACCCCTTTATCGCATTGGGTGCAAGTGTTTGATTGTTTGTGCATGTGCATAGATTGAAGACTTGCTTGTACCTCCTACTGGATTGATACCTTGGTTCTCTAATTGAGGGAAATACTTATTTCTACTTTGCTGCATCACCCTTTCCTCTTCAAGGGAAAAACCAATACAAGCTCAAGAAGTAGCAGGAAGAATTTCTGGTGCCGTTGCCGAGGAGGTCTACATCAAGCATATTATTCGCCATTTGCCTCTTGTTTTCCTCTCCCCCACTTCTAAAATGTTTTTTTAGAAAAACACAAAAGATTTGCCTTTTTATTCGCCCTTCTTTCATTCGACTTTTCGTTTGCTTTTTGTTTGCTTGTGTACTAGATTGCTTGCTTTGTCACGATGACTCAAGAGAATACCAAGTTGTGTGACTTTTCCAATACTAATAATAATGATTTTATTAGTACTCCGATTTCTCTCTCCACTAGTGCAAAATCTTATGAAATTAATGCTGCTTTGCTGAATCTTGTTATGAAAGATCAATTTTCTGGCCTTCCTAGTGAAGATATCGCATCTCATCTAAATACTCTTGTTGAGTTGTGTGATATGCAAAAGAAAAGAGATGTGGATAATGATATTGTTAAATTGAAGCTATTTCCGTTCTCACTACGAGATCATGCTAAAACTTGGTTTTCATCTTTGCCTAAAAATAGTATTGATTCATGGAATAAGTGTAAAGATGCTTTTATTTCCAAGTACTTTCCGCCCGCTAAGATCATCTCCCTTAGGAACGATATAATAAATTTTAAGCAACTTGATCATGAGCATGGTGCA